TTCCCAAAGGATAACGGGCTCTGAATTTCCCAGAAATCGGACAAACCCCAGCCAGCCCTCCCAGTGGGATTGTCCACCTGGCAACTGGATCAGCCCCATCAGTTTTTGGGGAAAAAAAGCAGAAGTAGAAGGACCAGAAATGGGGAAGCCACAAATGTTGAACCCCACTGCAATTGCTGCAGTGGGCACAGAAGAAAGCTGAATTTCCCCGAAGCTGGAAGGTCCTGGAAGGTGCAGGTTTACCTGGACAGGTGAGAGGCTCCTCCACCCCTGGCACAATTCTGGACCTTAAAACTTTTCTCACACTCTGCTGCAGACCATAGGCTGGGAAGTGGTGAGGGCCTCTGGTGGGAGTTTTAGTTTGAAGAGATAAAAGACACCAATGATATTCTGAGTTCCACAGTTTGCAATATTTGGAAACCAGAAGGGTTTTGCCAGGGTTTGTTTACCTGGTTTGGATTCACAGGCAGTATGAGCTGATGAAGAGATTCATGAGGGCAGATGCACAAATTTAATCACTCAAATAAGTGATAAATGGACCAGGGCACGGGTGTGGATCTGCACCCAACAGCAGGAAAGCACTAAAATGACCTAACAAAAAGCTGAATTCCAAACCCGAAGAGGATGGATTCCCTTTAAACACACACAGTGATTCCACTTCATCCAAGGGAATGACTGGAGCTGTATCAGGGAGTTTAGGCCAGATTTTGGGAAAAGGTTCTTCCCTCAGAGGGTAGTGGGGCATTCAACAGTACAAGCAAAATCCCCACCGTGCAGCAGAAGTTATTTTAAAACCCCCAAAAAAGTGGTTTAAAATTATTCTATTAAATATCTTAGGCACTGGGTAACACAAAATATCTAAACTGCGTGGTTTTTTTCCCACAGATCAACTTCAGAAACAGCCTAAGGAAGATAAAAGTCCAAGGCTGAATTTCACAGAACTCCCTGCACTGAAAATCATCAACACAACCCCACCACTCCTACTGACAGCACAAAATGTTCTTATGTAGCAAAGTCTGGATTAAATTTTATTGGTAAAAGGGATTCGGGAGCACAGCAGAGTTCACTGTGCCCTGCTGCCTTCCTGGAAGACAATTTCCCACATGGAGAAAGTAATGCATAAAAAATAGTAATTCCCAAACCCTTCAGGAGAGGGAAACTGAGTGGAGATCTCCCTTCTTTGGAAAAGCAGTGGAAATATTCCCAAAGCTTGTGCATGCACGTGGCAGAAGCTGAACGTAACCAGCCTAGAAGGGAGATGGACACCAAGAGTGGTCCCAGTGCTCCCAGTCTGGGCTCCTCCACTCTCCTGGGGTTCCTTGGTTTCCCCTATAAAGCTGAAATATTCCAAACCTGAGCTTGCCAGGAGTAGAACTGCCTGGTTTAAGGCTGAAAAAAGGTGATCCAGGCTCCTGAGAGACAGAAAAGTGATGAAATCCCAACGTGTGAAGAATTCCTCAAGTCGAAACACCCGTGGGTTGCTGGTGGACATCAGAGCAGCTGACCAGGCACGGGGCTTCTGTGCAGGGAATTCCAGACAATGAACTGGCAGGAAAAACCCCACGGTGGCCAAGCTCCCTCAGCAGCAAAGTGGCCTTTGCTCATGGAATCATGGAATTGAAGTTGGGAAAGCTCCCTGAGAGCAGAGTTCAACCATCAACTCAACCCCATCGTGTTCACCACCAAACCTCGGGTGCCACATCCACAGGGTTTTGGACAATTCCAGGGATGGGGATTCCACCACTTCCCTGAGCTCAGTCTCCCAAGTTTTCCATTTTCCTGGTGGAGCAGCGCAGAGGTGCAACCTCCCATCCACACCAAGGATTCTCACTGGCACAGCTGGGTTTTCCAGGATGGTTTAATTTAACTTCTGTTGTCCTGGCCAAGTCACCTCTGTCAAGACCACACACTTCCTAAATCCTAAAATATTCCAAGAGCTGCATAAAACCCACAGGGGATGAGGCTGAGAGCTCCCACCTCGCTGTGTTTGTGGCCTGTGCACAAGGGCTCATCACAAACCCTCACAAAAATGATGTGAGGCTCGTGGAAAACAACCAGGATGCAATAAAACTCCATAAAAGCCAACTGAGACTCTCTACAAAACACCAAACACACCAAGAAACTGCAGAGGAAGATGAGAGGGTTTAAATGAACGCTGCACGGCGACACGTGGTGGAATCAT